ATATGCAAGTCCAATCATGAATGCTAAGCCAATGAGCTTCATGATCTTTTCATGCAAAAGCTTCTCACTATGCTCAGCAGACCAAGCATTTTGAATGAGCTGAATTTAAACTGATCTCTAATAGAGTAACATTAATGGAAGCTCTCTTAGGATCATAAATGACTGACGCTGAATTTGCCGCTTTACATCGCCCGCTTGATGTATTCTGGCGTGACTTTGGCCCTTCGTTAGCAAGTGTGACCCTTCTTCCAGACTTTTGGCCCTCCATCTTGTCTTACAGGAAGTCATTCGGCGATGTCGTGCGACTGCTTTCCTCATCCACGACATCGGCCTTAGCATCAATGCCGCCTGTGCGGAATCCCTTAGCCAAGAAAATATCAAGCAGCTGCCAGTGGTCTGGATGATTGCATTCATCACGATATTCAGATGATCCTAGGTTGGTTTCCAACATAAACCGCTATGTTAAACCATATGGACGTGGGATCCTTGAAGTTTCCGCCACATGTCCGCCACCATGGAGCGCCGCGCGCATCACGAACCACCGAAATGTAGTTTGCAACACGGTCAGCAAAGAAAAACACCTCCGAGAGTACGACCTGAGTGCCGACGCACTGAGTCAATGTTTCAGGAGCCTTCCGCGAGAAACGAGCCAGGAGACTCCATTACCTCGAAAAAAACTCAATCAAAAAAATTTCAGTCTCCGCTATGGCCTTCAAGGGGCCAAGAAGCGTTCTCCAGTCAATCTAAGTGATGATAGTAACAGCAAACGCAGCTGGACAGTGAACACCAATTCCTCGTCCCTAATGTGACGAATATGTTTATCAAGGATACGCAAAGAACTCTGAAAGTCCATTGCCGGCATGCCGATGTTTAGGCTGTTCTCTGATATCTCTCTCAGGTCTGTCATATAGGACATTTTGGTTCTAAGGTCTACTTCAACAAATGCTCGCTTCTCTAGGAACGCCTGCAGCAATGCTTCACTCAACCCATTGATAGGGTGAACGAACTGGGGATACGAAGATACCGGGCGCTGGAGAATGAACTCCAACCTCGATAGCATCAGAATTCACCCACCAAGTATATCTTAATGTGCCGCTTGCTTGGCAGTCATGAGCCCCTCATGGCTCTATCCAAAGCATAGGCTATAGTGGGAGGTGGCAAACGAATTCCACCCACTTTCACCGTGAACTCACTTTCATCATGAGAACCAAGCACTCGCAAAACGACGCTTTATCGTCTTGCCCAACCCACTCTCCCCACCAACCACCAACAACTTGGCAAACCGCGAACTTTCTCACGACTCTTCGAAAACTTGTAGCCCACCATGACTTGTGCTATGGCTAGCGCATTTACTGATCAACGCATAGCACAATGTCACCTTCAAAGAGAGAGAAGCCCATTATGATAGCCAAGGCGGCGTGGAAGAAAGTTCTGGAGACTCTGTTGCCTCAACGAAAGAAAGTGCAGAAAACGCAAGAATTGGGCAAGAGCAATACCAAATACAAACAACGCGAAGCAGGCCACCACTCTTCGACCACGCTGTCCACGTATACGGATACACTGAGAGAGAACGAGAACGGGGTCGGGCAAGGCGGCAACACTACACCAGTTTGGCGTCACGGCGAAGATGTCGGACATGCCAAGACAGTAAGGTTCATCGAAGAGGAAGAAATTATCACAGCACTACCTCCGATGCCTCCCCGTCCAGTTATCGAGGCTCCAGTTGTTCAGGCACCAGGAAAGCTCAGAAAGAAGAGGACTATGGAGACGGCTGGCAACGATGTCCAACGCAGTGACTAGGACGACGTGGCTGGCGACTTCGAAGAAGATATCAATGTGCGGTCATAATCCCCCAGGGCACGCGTCAGGCAAAGCAGATGGAGAAGACATGTGAATTGGAAAATGACAGAGGGTGCGTGGATATGCATACTTACGTTAGCAACGACGATGTACAGTAAACACTATATTAAGATGGAACACTTGCAGGAAGGCGATTAGTCGCCACTCCCTCAAACGCGCTACGGGGGAGCGTCCGAAGTAGTAGGAACCAGAACCTTGAAGTTATTTACGGCAGGCAACGTGCTCAATTACGTACGTGATTACAGAGTAACCTTGACGCTTTCGTAGAGAATCTGAATATATAAATTTGTACCCAAGGTACCAGGTCAGAGACACGCGCTAGCCTGGAGAATCGGAGTTTAGACCTTAACTTAGACATGTCGAGTTCGAAATGACAGGATGACAGCGCGTCTGATGCGCGGTCGAACGATGGAGCATAGGAGCGCCGACGTTTTCCGCTGCCCTGATGGCGGGCTCCATATCCCGATCACAAATTGCAACTCTTACAACCCGATACCGGTGCACATGGTCCCATCCAGATTTGAAGTGGGGAAGTCGCGTTGTAATGGAAAGAAAAGCTTTCGAGGTGTCGTTTGATTAAGAGCGATTGCGGCTGGCTACTTTCGGCTCATCTGCAGGCGGTAGACTGACCACAGATGACGGTGCGAGCTGTGCTTCGCTGCGCTAACGGTTCTGGTACTGGAGAAGGAATTACCGATTGTGGGGTACGGCCACGAGGTAGTCGTAGTTGGAAGTGTGTACACAAAGCCATGGGAAAGCAATGAGAATGGGGTGTCAGTCGAGGAGAAAGATATGGGTGTTGAGGCTGAGTCACGTGCACTCAAGGATCGTGGCGCCCTCCTTATTCATCAATGCCAAACGTCATCTTCATCATCAGTAGAGCACCGTCATTGCTATGCGATACCCCAATGACCGCGATGGGTTCTCAGGGACATCTCGTGGCATTGCCCAATCATCGGCCTTTGGTAGCGTTGATGATAAGGCAGTCCGGATCCGGCTGCGTCAGTCTGGAGCACTAGAAAGCATCTAGTGTGTGCCGACGCAAGCCGAACAACGCACGCAACATCGCCCAAGTCCCGTGGTCGACATGAGTGGCATCTATGGTATATATGGCGTTATCCGTGTGCTAGAAAGTCACAGGATTCCGAATTGCTCTCTCTTGACTACTTGTTGGGTACTTCGACCAGAGTAGACGCAGCAATTCACCCTAGCAAGTGCAAGTCCTGCCGACCCGAGTGCTACAAAGACCTGTACTCCCAACTCCAACTTCGACAACGACTTCTACACAGCATGTCAGCCATGAGATTACGGATCCAGCAGCTTCGGCGCATCGAAGGTTCTGCACTTTCACAGCGAATGCTTGCTTACACACCCCGATACGTCCACCATAGCTCACGGCGCGATGTCTCCCTGCCGACGTCATCACCAGTTTCCGTATCCTCACAGGTCATCTCTACAAGAACCGAGTCACAACAAACCTCCACCAAAGCCGTCCTTGGTCGCTTGCCAACCGGCACAGTCCTTCGCTCGTATCTCATAACCGCCATGTCTTCGTCTCCAGTATTACTGTCCATGTGCTTCGGAATCTTACAGCGTATGCTGGATTCCAAGTCGGCCCTTATGAGCATTGAGCGCAACCCTGTGCTCGCAACTCTTCTCAAGAAGACATTCTATGCCCAATTCTGCGTGGGCGAGCAGAAGGATGAAGTTGTTCGGAATACAGACTTTGCGCGCTCAGTGCTAGGTTATGATGGCATCCTATTCGAATACGCTCTAGAGGTGCTTGGGGGGGAGGCACCAACAGCTGAGGAGACGAAGAAGGAAATCGAGGTGTGGAGGAAGGGCATGCTGCAGAGCGTAGACATGGCGAAGGAGGGTGATTTTGTCGGCTTGAAGTGCGTTCCTATCATCCCTACTTGGCCTGAAGATGGTACTAACAGAAAATCAGGTGGTCAGGCCTTGGTCGTCATGCCCTTCATCTCCTCCAAAACCAACAGGATGCTACGCCCGACATGTGGGAGGCTATCACCGCTGCCTGCGATGCCGCTGCTGCGAAGGGCGTCGGCTTACTGCCGGGAGCTGAAGAAGAAATCACCAACCGCGGCCTTGAAAAGTGGACACTCGCACTCCAGAAGAAGTACAATACTCGTGAACAAGGTCGCGCTGTTCTCTACGCTACGTACCAATGCTACCTTCGCGGCATCTCACAACGGTTGGCGCAACATCTGGAGAAGGCATCTAAAGAGGGCTACATTGCCGGTGTGAAGCTCGTTCGGGGCGCGTATCTGACTTCCGAGCCCAAGGAGCTCACCTATGATACCAAGGAAGGCACCGATGCAAACTATGACGCCTGCGCTACCGCTGTGGTTAAACAACAGTGGACTGATGAGGTCCCCTCTCCGTCACCAAACACACCCTTCCCACCCGTCAACATCGTCCTTGCGACACACAACCTCGCCTCCGTCCAGAATGCCAAGAAGATTCGTGCATCACAAATGCTCACCACCGCGCCTGCGAACCTCCCACGCCTGACTTATGCACAATTGCAGGGCATGGCAGACGAGATTTCGCAGTCACTAGTCCTAGATCCAACCATGAAGGCGGATACACAGGCTAAAGTCGTCAAGTGCATGACTTGGGGTACGACGACCGAATGTCTGAACTTTCTGCTAAGGCGAGCGAGTGAGAACAAGGAGGCAGCTCTTAGGACCGAGGATACAAGGAAAGCTATGGGAGCGGAGTTGTGGAGGAGAATGAAGACTGCGGTTGGGCTTGCCTAGTCTGCCTATTACCGAAGTAATGATTTTTTAACGCATAGCATGAGCATGGAGTTTGGATTAGGGCTTTGTATTAGCGGGGAATCGGATATTGTGACCAGATCATGTACCGTTCATTAGCATTAGGCCACGGACTTCTTTTTTTGAAGGACTATTACGAAATAAAACCAGATCACAAAGCATCATCTAGTCCTTGGTCTCCTGGTTTTCGCCCGAGCTATTCAAGTCCCCACTCACCCTCTGACTTTTGCGACCCACCCAGACCGCTTCTTACAAAACTTCCGTTAGTGCTCAATCTGTACCATTATTTGACACTAGCATATATATCAATTATGCATTGGCTTACTAATACAGATACCTAAAGCCCGCTTGGCCAAGTGGTAAGGCGTCGCACTTGTACGCAATGCAATGCGAAGATCTCTAGTTCGAATCTGGAAGTGGGCATTACATTCTTTTTTTCTTTTTGCCAATAGATAGGCAAAAGTAATGAGATTTTTGTAGAGATACGGTGTTCTTCTTTTTTGGCCTGATACTGCTAAACGAGGAGAACGTGTTCATACGTAGGGATGCCTATTCTGCCCTACTCCTATCACCACCCTAGCTCTAATAACTCAAAACTTAGCTAGTAATACTTAAATGATGGCGCTAGAAATCTATAATCCTATTATTTAATATGCCTTCTAGCTAGTCAGCTCTTTTTAGACGAATCTATGCGGGGAGATTGGTAGTGTACTCGCTTGAATACATCACCACCCTGGCTCGAACAACTTAAAACTTAGCTAGCAATACTCAAGGAATGGCGCTAGAAATCTATAAACCTATTATTTAAAATGCCCTCTAGCTGGTCAGCTCTTTTTAGACAAATCTGTGCGGGGAGATTGGTAGGGTACTCGCTGGTATAGACTAAGCTAGCTAACCAAGTCCGTTCCAAGCACGTTTGACTACCTATAGAGACTAGTCTTGTGCTGAGACATCTTACAGTATACAAACGAAGTTTATTGACTCTCCACCTAGCTTTGCTTATAGTGAGATAAGAGTAGCATCGATTGTCGTGGTGTTGAATACTCGACCATGTCAGAGGAGGTGACACGGGATATTCCGATCATGTAGAATTCTAACCCTCGAGATGTTCTTACGGCCAACCGCATAGTTCATCCGCTACATAGCCATAGGTACTGCAATAATGGGGATGAGATAATCCTACAACAAGTCCTATGAGGCTCATGGTCCTTCCATCCGTTTGCGGGAAAGACTGAGATTGGTTATCCCTTGCCCTCCGTTACCCATCCTAAAATCGCAGTCTAAGGTATCAGTTTGGCAAAAGATCTTCAAGACGAGAGGGCTATTTGGAGATAACCGAAGTCAGTTATCAGATAATTCAGTACAACAAGAGCAGGTGATCTCATCCGATTGACACCACAGGAATATGCATGCATCAATGAATACCACTACGAGGTGTAAAAAATGACTTTTTGATAAAATATCTACTACCATTACACGTAGATGTAGCAGAAAGGCCCACCCAATGTATTACTCGCGTCCCTAATTTTCACATCAGGCACACCGACATATCCCAAGCTGATGATGTCGTCCAGACTCGTGTTTCGACTCGGTGGTGAGTTGTTTAGCGTAATCGTCCCAGCAAGCGCATATTCCCTATTTGCTATATCTTGATTCTGCCACGTCCAGTACGTTCTGTCAATCATTGCATGATGGAGAAAAAAGGCTGGATCACCAGGCGACGCAAACAAATCACCGCCTGGGTCGCCACCGATGGTGAAGTGGCCGCCAGTGTGCACGCCAAGAAAGCCATTGGCAAAGTCACCCTGCATAGTGGTGGTGAATGTGAGAAAATCCTTGCTGTTCTTGATGAGGGATGCAACATCTGAGTCTTTAGTCCAGCCTTGTGATGCAGCTTTGGAGATGTCACGACGAAGACAGCGCGGGTTGTACCCGAGGCCAGTGAAGTCAGGGTTGGCCTTGACATCTGTTAAGACGGGGGCGACCGGTCCGAGGTTGACAGACCAGCTGTTGAGTGTTAGCGATAAATCCTTCATGGCCCTACATGAGAAGGCATGAACTTACTCCTTGAAAGGTCCGGATTTGACACAGCCACCTCCATTTCCCGGAGGAAGGCTGACGCCGCAAGAGTCAGGACTAGGAATGCATGTGTTATTACGCCCAGCAATATATGCCCCGTCACCAGACATACTGGTGGCGCTACCATCAAAAGTTGGTGATTTTACCGGATCGTTAGCCCACCATGGCCAGTTGTAGTAGGGCTGGTACCCCTTGTAGCCACACTCATTTCGTAAAACCGTTTCATAAGCCCAGGTAAAGTAACGATGCCATGACAGAAAGTTACCCTAGACGTTGTGAGCGTGGGACAAACCAGACATTGAGGGGTAGAAACATACCGTGCCGTGTATGGATAATGTTTGGTTGATGTGAGTCGCGACGAAATCGTCGTACCGATTTTTCGCCCCTGCAGCAATGCCAGCAGGCGTTTTTGCCGGCTTCTTTGCTAAACATTTGACCGCGTTAATGTAGTCTGTCTTCTCCGCTGTCGACAGAGTCGACCTAAATGATTGTTAGCATGGGCTGCAGTTTATGGGATGTACTATTACTATTACCATTCTTTCCTTTGCGCAGTGTTGTCCAGAGTACATTTCTGCGGGTTCGGGTACCCATTCTTCTTGACGTAGAATCCAAGATTCACAACACCTTGTTTCGTCAAATTATCGCTCTCGTACGTGGCCCGAGACTCCAGAGGAGCCGCCCCTACTACCCCAAGCAGCGTAGCTGCCACTACACTCGACACCTTCATGGCGATAAGAGGGCCCAAAAACAAAGATAATCGAAAGAGGTGCTTGTCGGCCAACTATCCGAGTATATAGTTACAATACTAGTAGATGTTCGTAAACAGCACGGGCCGTCCTTAATCTAATGATAAGACAAATGATGAAACTAGGCGCGTAACGATATTAGACGCAACTGCTTATAGAAGACAGTCAATCCCGCGTACGTGAGAAGTAATATGAGGTGCGTTGATACGACTATTGGTTACTTTGGCCCAAGGGAAGTCTTTATACTCGCATCCAGCAACCCTTTGCCTCCCAGGTCCTGACCCTCCATGTCAAGGAGCTTTTTTCCCCTCGCCAACCACGTGTCGTGCGCATGGCGAACGCCGTGGGCGTACCAATAGTCCGGTTGGTTGGAGAATTCGGAATAGTGAAGTCCGTCAGACGCTCGTGAGTGGTTGAGCTGCAAGTCGATATCGGCGTCTTACTCATGCGAGATAAATTGCGCAGAAGCGCGTCCAATTCCAAGCGCGCGAGGCGTGCGTGGCCCTCGAAATCGGTTCTTGAGCCTCGCATGTTGAATTCCGATGCAAGGATGAGTATTGGAAGCGGAGATACACTCTTGCAAATGGGTAGACTGACAGTCAGAAGGGCCCGACGAGGCCCGTGGTGCGGGAGAGAAGATGGATGAGCGGTCGTTATTACCCAAAGAGTCACTAGATGGAAGCTTAGCTTACAATGGACCAATGAGATACGTTACCAATCGTCCTAGAAGAGATCTTGACCCGAGCGTTCGACACCTGGAGGACGGGAGGCGCCCGGCTTCGAAGGCCCTCCCGCCCGTCTCGCCGGCTCCATTTCGCCGATGGGTAGGTCAGCCACCGAGGCTGACCATGGAGCTATTATTGGAGAATCATGGACTTCTCTTAGTCAAAGGGTTCGCTTGAAGACCTACAGAGACTACGTTGCGCCGCGCTCGGTTCCGCGAACCTGTATAGATCTTTGTGCATTTTCTGTTACATGCAATGAATGTTTGGATTGCCTACAGCAGCCGCATCGCCCCGAGGTATTAAGGATAGACGACTTTCACAATTCCTTAGTCGAATGTACCATGGGATACGGGTTGTCCACAAGGTGAAGGTGTCTCGCATCTTTCGCTGCCGAAATGATTGATCAGTCAAGGCTCAGTTTCAGCTCCAAACAGTACTTCGTCGCCTCACATGATGTGACACTTCGGAGATTAAATGATGTCTCGTCTTCGCTGACTTTGTGTGGGTGAAGAAATACGAAAACAATCATTCATCTTGGAATGCAGGTTAGCCTGTAAGGCGCGGGAATACAAGGATGGCATGTCGTCGCGACCCATGAGTCCTCACCCATGGGAAACTAGCCAACGTCGCGGCTTCCCGAACCATGCGATACGATGAAGGGTATTTTGGGGCTTAGGATGATACACAATGGTTTGCCCTTGTCTGAACAGATGTCGACCTGCATAGCAGCTCCTACTATACCAAGAATAGAGGTGAAGAGTTCGATAAAAATTCGGTATACCAGTGCGTGCCGCTCCACGGCTAAGCATCTAGTTCACAGACCTACGTCTGCCCTACGGAACATGCGGGAGCTTGACTAGTCGTAGTATAAGTCATCGGCAAGTCACTGCAAGGAGAGAGCGGAACCTGAGAATATCGAAAGTTGACGAGGGCACTGCATGCTTTTGTGGTAGAGTCTCTAAGTGCGGCAGCTACAGAAGAAGAAACATTGCAAAAGGGGTGCGCAATGCGCGATTCCTGAGTTTAAGGAGATAAGTTGCCATGGGTCTCTTGCAGCTGATCGAGAGAAACTCAACACTTTGTCCGAGAAAATGTACATACCTATGTACTGCACCTTTTTGCCTTGAAGCAAACCCCTCTTTAAAGACATCGGCGTTGTAAACTTAGATTAAGACCCTGTCGGGTCCCTGCACTAGGCTTGACATAGTTCACACTATTGGTGGATGTGGCGCGACGCTCACGCAGAGGGGTTCTAGACATGCTGAAATTAACCGGTTGGTCTAATGCAGAACGGACGGGGAATCAAATCCGCTAGCCGCGGCCGAGGAATACATCGCTTAGCTGTCGAATACGCAAGCCATTTCTTCCAATCCTCATGCGCTTATACCTGCACGGAATTGTTTCAGTCCTCGTTGACCTGGACTTGGGGCCGGCGCCCCATGTACTTCCACATGTACGCCATCACGAGTTGGTTCGCATCCAGATCACCCACAATCAATCCATCTGTCAAATCATTTCGAGTCTAGGTGCGTATTGTCGTCAGTCAAGATCTTGCAGACTCGCCATGCATTGTCCAGCAGCCACTCGATCCACTCAACATATGGTCTTCCTCATGATTTAAGCCCTACAGTCGACGTACCGATTCATCGGAGTGCGTCCCTTACCGGTAAAGTCCGAGACTTGAAAAGGTGGCTCGGAGGTACTGATCTTGGGGTGGCAGACACCCCATCCTCTGAATCCCAATAATTAGTGACTTGTTCTGATGTTTCATCCGCATTCACGCAGCCTCCCCAGTTACGAGCGAACACGAAACACACGTAGCTATAGTCTCGTGAACGACTTGCATAAGATTCTTGATTTCGTTATTGATGTG